TTCGGGGTAGAGGGTAAGAGGTGGAAGGGGTAGAAGGGGTGTGTAGGGGTGATACAGGGTGATACGGAGTGGAAGAGGGTGGTAGGGGGAGAGGGTAGGGGCGGTAGAGGTGGTGGTGGTGGTAGAGGGGGTAGGGAGTGAAAGGGGTGGAAGGGGTGGTAGGGGTGGTGGTGGTGGTAGAGGGGGTAGAGGGTAAGGGGTGGAAGGGGTGGTAAAGGGGGGGTAGGGAGTGGTTGGGGGGGGTGGTGGTGGTGGTAGAGGGGGTAGAGGGTAAGGGGTGGAAGGGGTGGTAAAGGGGGGGTAGGGAGTGGTTGGGGGGGAGGGTGGAAGTGGTAGAGGGGGCTGCGCAAGCAGAAAAGCGAGCGTAAGCGAGCATTTGATGCTTGTTATTAATAATATTCAAAATATATATGATTTGTTGGGGGGTCCCGCGGGTTGGTCGGCCCCTTCTACCAGCAGTGCGCTGGTGGTGATTGAGCTCTTTTGCCCCAGTAGCCTACAGATTTTAATTTAATATTACAGACTCAGGTTCAAGTAACGCCCCCATCGTTTATTGGTCGGTTCTAATCGGCCAATCATGCTGCTCCCTTAACTTTCCAACACCAAGATTTTAAGGTTTAAACCAAACTGACTCGTCCCGCCCGACTCGATGATTCTTCAAGTTCGAGCTTCTTTTGTTGATTGAAGACCCGAAGCAAGAATCACCACTGCTAAGCCACTGTCCGGCGGCGTTGTCCATTTTACTCTGTACAAAATGCCTGTTGTCCATCTGTTAGACTATGTAGCTGGCAACATTCGGTCCCTAGTCAACGCCATTGAAAAGGTTGGATATCAAGTTGAATGGGTAAAATCGCCAGAAGATGTGCAGAATGCTGAGGTCAGTAGAGCAATCGCCAGGCCCAGGGCGTGGAAGAGTTCACTGACATGCCTATGCCTGTAGAAACTTATTTTGCCCGGTGTTGGGCACTTTGGGCATTGTTTAACGCAGCTCTCAAATGGAGGATATCTTGAGCCAATAAGAAAGCACATCGCCTCGGGCAAGCCTTTTATGGGCATCTGTGTTGGCATGCAAGTTCTCTGCGAAGGTTCTGAAGAAGACCCGACTGTTCATGGTCTGGGGTTGATACCTATCCGCCTGGCAAGATTTGATTCCACCAGTAAAAGTGTTCCTCATATAGGATGGAATTCAGCCAAATGCTCCAGCAAATCCCCAGGGAAATACACCAGTCTCTACGGCCTTCATCCACAGGACAAATATTACTATGTTCATTCATACGCGGCTCCTTACGATGAGAAGGCGCTTGCCGGTCACGGATGGACGGTTGCGACTGCAACTTACGGGGACGAAACGTTTATTGGTGCCATTGGCCGGGATAATATCTTCGCGACACAGTTCCACCCAGAAAAAAGTGGTAAATCTGGCCTCCGCTCGTTGGAGTTTTTCTTGAATGGACAAAGCATTCAAATTTTGGATTCCCCTCCATCCCCAACAAGTGCTAGTGGTCTAACAAGACGAGTTATTGCGTGTTTGGACGTTCGTACGAACGATGATGGTGACTTAGTAGTTACTAAAGGGGATCAATATGATGTCCGCGAGAAGAGTGGCCACCAAAGTGGAGGACAAGTTAGGAATTTAGGAAAGCCTGTTGAAATGGCGAAACGATACTACGAACAGGGAGCCGACGAGGTAACTTTTTTAAATATTACTTCTTTCCGAAATTGCCCTGTTGTAGACGTCCCAATGCTGGAGATTGTGAGGCAAACATCAGAAACAGTTTTCGTGCCGTTGACAATCGGCGGCGGCATTAGGGACACCATTGACTCCGACGGCTCTACGATCTGCGCCTTGGATATTGCGAAGCTGTATTTCAAGTCCGGGGCCGATAAAGTTAGCATTGGATCTGATGCAGTTATCGCTGCAGAAAAGTACTATGAGAATAACCGCACCCTCAGCGGCGGCACCGCAATTGAGACCATATCGAAGGCGTACGGCAACCAAGCTGTAGTGGTCAGTGTTGACCCGAAGCGAATTTACGTTAATCGGCCGGAAGACACAACACATCGAACAATCAAAACAAAATATCCGAATAACGCCGGCCGAGAATTCTGCTGGTACCAATGCACCATAAAAGGTGGAAGAGAAGGCCGAGATATTGACGTTTACCAGCTTATTAAGGCAGTAGAGGCCATGGGGGCAGGAGAAATCCTTCTTAATTGCATTGATAAGGATGGGACCAACAGCGGCTTTGATATTGAGCTCATCAATGATGTCAAATCCTTTACCACAATTCCGGTTATTGCTTCCAGTGGTGCCGGTAACCCCAGTCATTTCGAGGAAGTTTTTAGGCAAACTACCACCGACGCTGCTCTAGGTGCAGGCATGGTACGTGCTGTTGAATATTTTGAATATCCTCGCGAGTATCTACTGACTTGGAAACTAGTTCCATCGGAATGAATACACTGTGAAGGACGTAAAAAGTTATTTGTCCTCTAAGGGACTTCTAGTCCGGGTCTGAAAGGTAGTCATGAGTGGTTATGCGAAGAATAATTATCAGAACAGGAAATGACGGTTTGCCGCTATATCGATACAATTCAAAAAAAGCAATCAATTCATACCTATAGATTTTAGACGGAATTCAAACGATATCTACATTCGTAATGCAAAGATTAATTCCAACAGAAATATTTTACCTGATCCAAAGACTCCAATACGCTTTAGCTCCAACGCTATTATTACCCACGGGGGGGAGATTGAATCCATCACCAGCGCATCACATGATCTGGTCGAAAATCTCCCCTTGCTGACTAATAGACAAAAATTCCTTCTTCCATCGCGCCAACTCTGGAACTTCGCCTTCTCAACGTCAACTCGCCTTTCTCTTCTTTCAACATCTTGCCACAATTCTGTTCACTATCCCACCCACTCCTTGCGGGCTCCTTGATTCATTTTCCATTGTCCTACCGACTTCTTGTGACTGAGTATCTCCTTTCGACTTGCAGATGTACAGTAATCCGTTCGGGTAGACATCCTTCACCCCACCGTCATCAGCGGACCTACCTACCTACCTGTCTTTATTGACGATACCCAAGTTGCCGTCTCTCTTTTCACATCTCATTTACGATTTTCGAAAAGTGCACTCGAGGGGGCATCTTCCTACAGACTCAGAAACATCGGTTGGATTGTAACAGGTATTGGGATCCGGCTGGTTTAAAATTTATTATCGTTATTGTGTTGCTAGGGTGTTAAAAAACAGCTTTGAAGGATTTTACTGTCCTTCCCCTTTCTTCGCAGTCCGAATACCTGTTTTATGTACAAACCCGTTTCTTCATTATTGTTTGGGGGTATCTCAAATCCACGTTTGTTCCCTCTTCTTTTTAACGCAAGAAAATCTTATCATATCGATACAAAACATAATCCAGTTGAGGTTATTCCAGTCTCGCTCTGACATCCCCAACTTTGCCACTCTCCTTACTCAATAAATCGATCGTCAAAAGGACTTTATAATCAGTTCACATTTGCGGTGTGGTTGGCAAAACTGAATCGAGTCGGGACGTTGCATTATTGCTATCATTGTTTAGACACTTCCTACCTTGATCTCAGTTCCCTAATCCAAAAAGATATTGTCCATTGTTAACTCCTCCCATCAATTACCATGACTTCTTCTGTTCATTTCAAGTTCAAATCTCAGAAGGAACCCTCGAGGGTGACCTTTGACGGCACGGGTATATCGGTTTTTGAACTGAAAAGAGAAATCATCAATCAAAATCGACTAGGCGATGGAAGTGATTTTGAACTTGCAATTTATAACGAAGATACAAACGAAGGTGAGTAAGGGGTCGTATATCCTAGCTAGCACTTCACGTTGCAGACCTAACTCGTTTCCCATAGAATACGACGATGACACAACGATTATCCCACGATCCACCTCTGTAATCGCCCGCAGGCTTCCTGCCGCAAGGCCCGGGAAGGGCGGGGCGGCACGCTATGTCTCTGGTAAAATGCCAGTGAACGCGCGTAGTTCCTCCAGGATTGAACCCCCTACATCCAACCGAACTGTCAGCGGTGGAGGTGCTATTATAAACAATATTCCTGATTTGAATGCTGCGCAATCCGAAGATGAAAAGATCAAAGCTTTGTTTAGCTTGCAGGAAACACAATGGAAAGAACAACAAAACGAAATGGCCAAGTAGGTCATGCCACAGTCATCATGTATTTATTAGTTCCTTGACAATGAACCTGCTAACAAAATACTACCAACAGTGCTACTCCAGTTCCATTTAATCGAAGCAGGGGAAAACCTGTCAATGTCCCTGATCATCCTCCACCTCCAGGTTATTTATGCTACCGTTGCCGAGAAAAAGGTACGTCGTTATCAGCGGCTATAGGGGATCTAGTAACAGGCTAACATATTCTTAGGTCATTGGATACAAGCATGTCCCACCAATAATGACCCCAAATTTGACGGTCGTTATCGAGTCAAACGATCGACGGGAATACCCCGCTCGCTCCAGAAACAGGTTGAAAAGCCTGATTCCTTGGCATTGGATGGGTCAAACGAAGATTCGAAGCTTTCTGGTGTAATGGTAAATGCGGATGGCGACTTCGTGGTTGCTCAGCCAGATAAGGCATCATGGGAATTATACCAGGAAAAAGCCAAAGCTTCTGCTGCAGCGGCAGCTGAATTTGCCGCAGCTGAAGGGAGCAGGGAGATACAGGCGCGTGGTTTACAGTGTCCAATTGATAAACGATTGTTACTAGAGCCAACGAAAACGCCATGCTGCAAAAAAACTTATTGCAATGATTGTATCACAAATGCATTGATCGAAAGTGATTTCGTTTGCCCTAATTGTTCTACGGAAGGCGTATTACTAGACAATCTAACAGTGGACCAAGAAGCTGTGGGTAAACTAAAGGATTATCAAAAGGAGAAGGCCGAGAAAAAAGAGAAGGAGAGAGAGCAATCAGTTAGCGAAAAATCCACCGTATCTCCTCCAAGAGTTGTTTCGGAACCCGCCAACCAAAAATACGTGTCTACTTCTTCCCCCAAACTACCAACACAGCCTAGTCCGACATGTTTGAAAAAGCGACCGGTAGGAGAAGGGGACGAAAATGCAAGTGGGCAGGATGTTGTTGCCACTGCACCAGCAATGAAAAAGCAGAAATCAAACGACGGCCAGCCTCATGTCAACAGCCATCATAACCAAAAAGGAGAAATCCATAACGGATTTTCTCCCTCGCCGTTCCATCAGCAACTACCCTTCGGAAATTTTAATTCTCCATCTCCCCAACACTTCCAAATGACCGGGTTTCCTCAACAGAACGTGATGCCAATGCCGGGGTTTATTGGCAATGTAGATAGCTCTACGCCCATGCTAAACGGATATGCGCAAGGCGAAAATGGGTGGAATCAGATGGCGAGTAATAATATGAACTTTGGTATGCCAAACGGACCATATACGAATAGCTTTAGCCAGCCAATGATGCCATTTGGTGGATATGGGCCAAGCAATTTCGGCCCTGGCCCAGGCGGGATGATGCCCATGAGCATGAATTTCATGAACCAACCTCCCAGTCATCTCCCACAACGACCGCCCTTCCAACAAAACATAGGCATGGCACCCTTCTCGAACCAGCAACGAACCAGTTTCGGACGACCATTCGCGAAGGAAGAAGACAATGCGTATCTACGACAGCCAGTCAACCCGCATCGACACCAAGCGAGGCAGAAACGAATCAGGCCGAGTGACTATCGTGAGCTGTAGGGATACGAATAGGAAGGGGCATAAAGAGCTACCAATGAATGACACATCATCACCATGGTATTGTTTTATTTCCAAATTTATTAGACTTTTTAGCGTGGAGTTTGTCGCATATGGGAACTCAAACCTATGAAGGTTGAGAAATTCGTGGACCAAGGAGAATCGGTGATCGTTCGAGGTTCAATGGAGTAGTTCTAAGTCCTTAAGAGGATTGATGTAAAGTTCACTTTACAGAAGTCTCCTGCAGTACTTCTGCTTTTCCCTAACTTATATGTAATCTAAGTTTTCGATTTTATTTTATTCGTAGTGGCGAATAGTTAATAAATTTTATGTTACATAACTCATCTCAGAACATCCGGGCAAATTAGCAATCAGGTCGACTGCAACTGTATCCCCCAGTATTTTCTCAGAGTCTACCAACTTCGCCAATCCAGATCAAGCTTTGGAGCAATTCGTAAGACGCCGTAGTGTAGTGGTGCATTGGCTGACCGGGCTAAAACTTAACTCCTTCGGTGAATATATGTGTAAAAGGAAGAGAGTAACGAGTCAGTAAAGTTTGTTCTATTGATAATATAGACTGCGTTGCTAAAATTTAACACATGTACGAAATCCTGTGACATGGCCAAATATCAACGCTCCTGACGCCTCTCTTCCAGCTCATCAGCAAGGAATTGAGCATCACGCTTCCCGCGGTCGACGTCGATTAGTAACATCAGCGGTAATGGGATGAGAATTAGGATGGCCAAGAAGCCAAACGCAGGTCGAATTTCTCCGTATCTATCAGTTATCATCCCGACAATCGCAGGACCGAATATGCTCGACCCCTTATCGGTGATGGCATACAATGCATAAAAGGATGCTTCGAACCCCGGGGGTATCAACTCTCCGAAAAAGCTGCGACAGTAGGATGACAACCCGCCCATTACAAGGCCATAAACAGCTCCTAGCATGTACATTTCCCATGGCTTCTGAAGCCCAAACACGCCTAGCCGTTTGATTGGTGGAAGGAAGCCGAGGAGCCCGTAAAAAGGGATGAACTCAAAAACACAAATGCAAGCAATGATGGTCTGTGAGGCGCGCCAGTTTAGTCGACGCGACAGATAGTTCCAAAAAAAAGCCCCACACACCCCCGAGATCATTGCTATTACATTGATCAAGCCAAGGGCAGCAAGCTTCATATCCAATTGTGTTTTGGCAAATAGCACAGCTGTGCCGCTCACCGTGGCAATGCCATCAGAAAGAAGAAACCACACTGCTAGGAAGATAAGAACGTCCTTGAGATGGCGGGCTTGAAGAGCTGTGCGCCCAAGGGACTTCCATGCGAACGCTATGTAACTAAGCCATGGCCACATTTTGTTGTCTCTGGCAGAAGTAGGGAGAGGTGGGCCGGGACGAGGACGGAGCCACATAGCAGCTGGGACTGTAAAAAGCAACCACCACAATCCAATTCCGAACAGAGCCAATCGTAGGGAGAAGGTCGTCGAGCCTGTGGCTACAATGATGAGGATGGACATGATTTGCAGAATAACAGCCCCAATGTAACCAATACCAATCCCATTGGAAGAGATCCTTGTCGACAGCTGGAGCTCTTCTGACATTCTTGGAGATTTGAGCTGAGAGCCATCAATGGGCATGGTAGTATCACGCTGAAGTAGTGGTGATGTGGACGACATACTGCTGGGCCGTTGACTCTGGCTGGATCTAGGCTCGCTGGACGTATTGGAAGGTTGCACATCATCGTCAATCAAAGGACTGCCCGGGGTAGATTGAATGGCGGGGTGATGGCGAACAAGCAAAGGCAGAAATGAATTGAGTAATACAAATGAGGCACCAAAGCAAGTATTTGCTACAATTGCAAGCAATGCGCCGAGCAAATAAACTTGCGGAACAACGCCCAGAAAGAGCATGGTTGACACTGCCCCCAAGAAAGCAAAAACCAAGAGTAATGTCTTGCGGTAGACGCCGTGATCCGCTGCCCCTGACATGGAGATTATAAGCAGTGACTGTATTAATACACTCACTGAAAATGTGTACATCGCAAAACTAGCCGTGTTTATTTCCATTCCCAGGAAATATACGACACACTGGCTAGTTTTGGGAGAACTTGGACGGCTCGGAGAAGAGGCAGCCGAAGTGAACAGGTCGGATGTCACTCTCCAACTTGCACTGCATGGCGTAGTTTTGTCAGAAAGGAGAACTCCTCGATCCCTAGCCATTTGCTCCAGGGTGATAGGAAGAAAGGATCCTGTTTGCAAATTTAGCACTTCATTAGTTCTCTGTCAGAAAGTGATAAGTTGCATGGTTCACAGAAAATACGAAGATCTCTCTCTCACTCTCACTCTTTTTTTTTAACTATCCTCTAATTTCCTCTGCAAACACTCACTTCACTTCCCGCTGTAAACATGTCCATAGCTGCTAAAACAATAAAAAGAGACGGGTTGGAATAACTCACCCATAGCACAAACTGTAAATACCTCAGCGGCCCAGCCGTAACAGTACCACCCTGCCAGCTCCTTCTTGCTCGTGGGCCGAGTATCATCCCCGGGGTACTTATGACCGATCAGTTCATCTGAATCCATTATTGAATGAATATGAAACACACCTCAGCCTGCACCTCGGAACAGGCGACGAGATGATGAAGAAAGAAGGAATAATTGCTCAGTTTGTGATCATAAAGTGCCACAAGCTCCGTGCAAACAATGCAAACATTGCTCACAGTTGGTAGTTAGTTCACATTTGGTTGAATAACTCCACCACCAGACGGGGTGGTATGCGGTCGGCGTTGGGGTCAAAATGCTCGTATGATCGAGGGCTGTTCGATGGATCTATCGGTGGTTTCTTATTCGAAAAATTGAACGAGTTCGTGGTGGAGCGGTTGAATACAGGTGACTAGAATGGCTGGCTCTATGGCCTGTATGATTAATCTGATGATAGTGATAGATGTAGTAGAGGTAGTAAGAGAGGGGTAGAGGTAGTGAAAGTGGTAGAAGGGGGCTATGGAGTGGTAGAGTAGAGTAGAGGCAAAGCAATTGCTTGGACAATGCCACTGAGCGGGTGCTGTCACATTACAGCGTTTTTTGCTTGGATTTTTTTTGTTTCTCAGACTGAATAAAATAATTGTAAATATGATATTGATATTGTTGGAGGTTAAGAGTTCCTTGAACACGGCTTCTGTTTCGGCCATGGTGCATTCTTTGTTTATTCTGGCATAAGTTACTGGACCTCGCTCTTAGCATCTTCAAGCATTTTTGATAGATGGCTCGAACCCTGGTGATGTCGTCGCGGCCGTTGCGTATTGCGTCGCATATAGTCTAGTGCATTCCCAAGGCACTTTCCAATCGACTTAAAGTGTTCCATGTCGTCTATCCTGTCGTTCATGGCTGTGATAAAAGTGCTAGGCAGGGAGGTAGTCAGGGAGGTAGTGACAGCCCTTTGAGGCTGTCTCAACACTTTAGGATGTATAGCAAGCAGCCTCTTCGAGTTGGGTGGCATAGGCATAATCTGTACTCCGTAGGTCTAAATTTCTTCACGCCGTTTTCCTCGAATAACTGAATTCAGCGGCCACACTAAAAAAATTCTATTAGACAAGCAAATACAAAACAATGACTGAAGTGGGAAATGATTAGGCTTTTCTACGGTTTTTACACTGCCACATTATGCTATTACAGTACAAGAATCTCCTCCTTCGGGCGGGTATTTGCACATCAGGATGCTGGTATGTATAAGTGGAAACCCTTGCTGTCTGCAGAGCTGCTCTACAGTCGCAATAATAACAAGTTTTGGTTTTAGTTCCTGTCAATTTACTAGACTATAACTCAAAAACTTGACCAAATGTTTGATGTTCATCCAACCTCCTTTCCTCTATCTGCTGCATCTTTGCCCGAACAAAATCCTCCATCTGGTCCTGCTCATCTTGTGTTAAACAGGAAAGCCGATCGCCAAGAGAGCTCAAAGGCCCAAAGTATTGTTCGTCAAGAAATGTCCAATAGATCTCATCAAACATGAAGCTATTCCTGGCTGCAAGACAAAACCAAAAGAGCCCATCTTTGATAGAGAGCGCCATCCTTTCTGAAAGACGCTGTGATTCCTTTAGACTACCTTGATGAATCTGTTCGTCTTCATGGACACGGAGCTCCTTAAGAAATAGTTCAAGGCGAGGGCGGTATCGATCCATGAAATTGTCCAGGTCCCAAGCCTCAGGGCTTTCAAATAGGAGCCACCATGGAGCACTGTATGTAAATTCAGCAGGCGCAACATATGTATACTCCCAGTCAATGACACCAGTAACCCTCAAATCAGACTCCGTGACAAGGACATTCGATGGGCGCAAATCATCACAGTAGAGGTGGTATCGGCCATGCTGTACTGGGACCTGTTGTGCTATTTGACGGAAAAGACAGCGAGCCACATATTTCTTCCGGCAGTCGTCCTCATTGGTGATGGCATCATTGCGTTGGTATTTGAGGTGTAGAAACTGTTGCTCTGCTAATTGCTGGAAATACTTGGAGGCGCTTTCAAAGGTGTGATTGTAATCAACAAATTCATTGAGAGGGAAATTTCCAACTCGTATAAGCTCATTCATTTTGAGTGTCAGAGGCCGCTTTGCAACACTCCACCCCCCAGAGTTGTATTTCAATCCTCCAATGTATTTGAATACCGGCTTGGAGAGCTCTAGCACAATGTGAGCCATTCCAGAGTAGGCAATCTTCAAATCCGACTCAGAGACATCCGGATTCAAGCTTGGCGCCAACATAGAGGGATCTCGTAGGCGTTTTGAAAGCAAAGTGCCCTCAATAACTGTTGTAATGATATAAGGACCGCCACTCCATTGTCCTGCGCCAAGGACAGTTGGGACCGGGATAGATGTGAATCGAGCAATAAAGGCCATCACTGAGGTCTCGTCGCTAGTTTTTTCACAGCGGAAGCGGCTTCGGCCCAGGATGGGAAATCTAACAAGAGCATTGAAACCGTCTTCAAAGGTGACAGTACAGCACATATTGAATGCGCCAGTTGTGAAATCTGAAGCTCTGGTTGCTCGAAAACCACGATGAAGCTTGGAGGCAAGCTCGAGAGGCAAGGCTGGGGATTGTTTGAGAAGATAGTTCAACCAGGCAGCATATAGACTTTGCGACTTCTTCTCCGCCAACTTATCCCAGTGCATCGTGAAGGCAAGTATTCCGTTGTCACAAGGGAATCTCGTGGATGTGGTAATTTTGGTCTACTACTCGCGGGAATTGTCTAGCAGATGTTGGACCGAGTGGAATGGTGAACTGAATACAAAGAAGGTGAGTCTTAATAAAGAACCCCAGAAATAAGCGGGAGCACTTATCCTGTACTCAATGCGCACAAGATACAACTGCTCGAGAAAACCCCTTTCGAAAGATGGGTTGGGGTGAGCAAGCCATTGTTTGGCGCCAAGTGAATTGCCGCTGTGTTCCAGCACCTTGTCGCTAGCCAACACAACCTGTCACATAAAGATTTACCGCCATGAGCCCCTCAGAAGTGCTTATTATATATTGGGCATTCTTTCCTCCAGGCAGCTTCTACAGCGTATCATCGAACCTAACATCACAAGTTTTACCAGTCTCCTACATTGTCACTTCACGTTTGCCCCCAGACGCTAGTGCCAGAACCTTATGAGTGACAAGCCTAGCAAATCCGGTGCCGAGACTCCCGCGGCCGGCGGCGATTGATAAAGCCAAGAAAGCTCGCGATACCCTGGGTTCCATCTACTCGTTTTATGCAGCCAACCGCGATTCGCTTGAAAGAGTTCCATCCTTCATGAGCGACTCCAGCAGGGACCTCCCAATCATCTTCCAAACCGACCCAGTTCCAACAGCAGAAGAGACAGAACAGTTGAAGAAGAACCTCTCTGATCTCATCAAAACACAAGAGATTTTCAACCAAATCCCAGATCAGCAACGGCAGTTGATGGTCGAGGCAGCCAATGCCAGCACAATCAAGCGCGCCGAAAACCGTGCCGCGAAAAATTAAAGACCCGGATTAGCGGTGGAGAAAAGGGGGAGTTGTCTTTTGTTCGGCTCTGCATTTCGCTTAGGACATGCAGAGTGTCAATGATATGAGTTGTTAGAGTTTTGCTGCGGATATTCCGTTATTATGAGGCTCATCAGAGCGGCCAATTTGATTGTATTGCAAGCTTCTGCGAACTCATTGATAAGTGAAACCGGGCTTCATTCACTCCAGGATCTCTTTAATAGTAAGATCAGCGTGCGGAAAATGGCCTTTTGCACTTCCTTCTCTTGATTCAACAACATTACAATCATTCAAGAAAATTATCAAATTCTTGATCAGCTCTCAACTTAGTAAAAAATTCTTCAATAGAATTCAAGTGCGTGGTACGGTGGTAGATAGAAACAGCAACTTTACTTCTGTAATAAAACACATTTGCTCAATCTGTATAGAGTAATGAAGAAAAGAACTATCTAACTGACTTTAACTCAGATTATTTTTCATCATATTACAAAACTTTTTCTTTAAAAGAAAAACACTCTGTAATAATTGCTGAAACTTTGCAAAAGACTCTATATCTGAAAGACTTTATTTCAAGCAGAAAAAAAAAAAAGGAAATTCTCAGCTATTTAAATCTTTAAAATTTAATTATTATTATTATTATTCTTTTTCAATTATAAATGTATATACTTTAATAGCTGAATAATTAATATAGTCACTCAGTAGTATTTTAATATAAGAAATCAGAGTATGTGAGTTTAAAATCTATAAAGAATAAATTAAATTCAGAACTTAAGTACTTTAATATAAGTCTACACTAAATAGATCAGTATAATATATAGGTCTTATAATATAAAAGTGAAAAACATTAGAGAAGAAAAGAAAGAGAAAGTGCAGAAATCAGTGATTAAAGTGAATATTTATACATATATATAGTAAAGCTTCAGAGCAGAAGAATAGAAATTTCATGAGTTTTTCAGCTGAGAATCAGTGACTGAAAATTGAAGCTTTCAGTGAAATCTATGAAGTGTAATAAATAGTCTATATAATTGATTAGATGCAGTCTGTTATATTAGTCTCTTCTTTTCAGAAGTAATATAAAGTTATAAGTATATAATTCTTATCAGTCAAGAGCTGCTGTCTTAGATAATACAGAGCTTAAAGTTCAGATCAGATAATTATAACTGACTTATTTTATAAGATATTATCAGTTATAGCTGTAGAGTCTCTTATCAAGAATATCTTTAATCTCTTATTCAAGTTTATTATCTTTTTCTATAATCTCTGACAGCTGTCAGTTAGAAGTTAGTTAAGAAGAGAACAGATCAGTGACAGTATAATAGAGTAAGCTTATATAAAAGATATTATAAATCTCTAATAATATGTTAAAATAGTAGTTATAACTATCTAGAACTTCTATTACTTTATACTTTATATAACAGTAATTCAGTATATGAGATAAGTATATAATTTATATATTTCTAAGATTTAATTATATCAGATCTTCTATCTTATATTACTTAGTAAGATCTTAGTGAATATTAATTCAGTTCTCTTAATCTTATTTAGTATTTATTATAAAGACTTCTGCTCAGTCACAGACATCTCAGAGCTTTATTACTATATTATTAGTAATCTGAATCAGACTGTGAGAGTTTAATATAAACTATGTAATCTCTAAAAGATTAAACACTTTCATATAATAATTATATATAAGAAAGAACAGACTTATATTTGCAATATACACTGCATATCTATTTAAAAATAGAAATATAAGAATAGTGCGATCTCCGAGTTATATGAATGATATTGATCTAGTCTACAGCTCAAAAACTATCAAAGAGAATTTGAAAGTAATTGAAGAAGCTGCAAAGGAAATCTTTGTTAGAGCAGATATTAATCAAATTCAATTTGATATGAATAAAACTGAGTTAATTCACTTCTTTTCAAGATTCAATGAGAAAGAACTATCTCTAACTCTTTTAAATAGAGAGATTAAACTCAGTGTAAATATCAAATAATTAGAAGTATGATTAAACTCCAAGTTGAATTTTAAATATCACATTCAACAAAGAACTGTCAAGGCAGAAAGACTATTGAATAACATAATCAGACTATCAAATACAGAGAGAGGTCTATTCTTCCAGGCTATGAGACAGTTATATATAGTCTGTATTACATCAGTAGCTGATTATGAAGTTCAAGTTTGATGAAATAATTAAGAGAATTTCACTGAACTCTTTCAAAGTCTGTAAAACAGAGTCTTGAGAAGAATTCTGAGAGCATTCAAATCATCTTCTATTAAAGTAATGAAAATTGAAGCTTCAATTCCTTCTTCTGCTATTAGATTTGAAAAGGTCTGTATAAACTATGCTCTGAGAGTTGTAAAGATGAGCTTAAATCATATAATCAGAGAAAGAGTCTCTTCTTCATTTTCATCAATTAACTCTGAAAATGAACTGAATTGAAATAGATTTCTTGATTGAAATGAAAATAATTCTTCAAAGAAAATGTCTTCTCAACTGTACAGACTATACTCTCTAATTAAAAATCAATTTTCTTCTTTAAATATTGAAAAAGTTGATCATGAGAAGTTATCTCTCTGAAGAGAAAAGCTTGAATCTCTTATAGACTTATAAATAAGTGAACTATTAAAAGAGAAAGAATATGAACAGCATTCAAAGAGAATTTCTATAATTAATATAAAAGACTCTATTCTGATTTATTCAGATGACTTAAAAAATGAGAACTTAAATAGATTAGATGCAGGCATTGCTTATACTGAAGATAATATCAATTTTATCTCAGATTTCTGAAATCTAGACTCTGAATGTGAAGTCTTTGATACTGAACTATTTACAATAGTGAAAGCTTTCAAACTCATTGAAATAAAATCTTATAAAAGAGGAAATTATTTAAAAGAGACATGAATATTCTCTGATAGTCAAGCTGCTTTAAAAAGACTTAGAAATAGTCAGATTTATAATGATTAAATGAATCTTGAACTGATCTTAAACTCTATTTTGAAAATTCAAAAGAGAAGAATATCAAAGCTGATAATTCATCTGCACTAAGTTCCTGCTCATATGAATATTCATGATAATGAATTGACTGATTCAGCTGTAAAAAAGAGTGCAGAATTAAGCAGATCTATTCAAAAAATTATGTTCTGATCTTTTATAAAGAGAAAAATAAAAGAATCTTGTTTAGATAAGTGAAATAAAAGCTGACAGAAATAAAAGAAGAGTATACATTATTCAAGATTTGAAACAAAACCTAAGTAGAAATCTTGTTTAATTAAATATAAAAAGAAAATATTCTCATCTATAATACAGCTGAAACTAGAACATGGCTATTTCAAATCTTATATATAAAGATTTAATGATAGATTTGACTCAATAGAATGCTCATTCTGCAACATAAATGAGAATTCTGAGTATATTATAATACACTGTGTATTATACAATAGTCTCAGAGTCAGATTGAAAGAGAAGTATAATCTAAATCAATTAAATATGAGATTCTTATTCTCAACTGAGACAGGAATTAAATACTTAATAGACTTTCTATCAGAAACTCAAGCAGCTATAAGAAAATGGCTAAATTCAGAATTATCTGAATATGAAGAGAAGGAAATCAATCAGATATAGTCTGTTAAAACAGCTATATACTTATAAGAATAAGTGCTCGCAGGCGATTATTCGGGTGTTTGCAGCTTGGCGTGATATGTACTGTTAACTACTAGAAGTATTCACAGTAGAAAGATAAAATGTAGAAATCAAATGTATAATAGCATTCAAGCTGAGTTATGAATAGTATTTATGAACTTCAGTCTATATAGTTATATGTAGTCAAGGGCTGCTAGCTCTATTAATTATACAAGAGATAGAAATAGAGATAAAGAATCTGTGAGAAGTGAGATTTCTTATATATTTCTCTCTCTCTAAGACTTCATCTGCAAAGCCTTTCACTGAGTGACTTCATAGAATCAGCTCAGCACTGCAGTGATACTCACTAAAAATTCTTCACATCTATAAAAAATCTTAGTAAGAAAAAATCCCTTATTACTGTGAAGAAAAAAGAGTCTGTCACTCAGTTTCTTATTCTATAAGATTCTTTATGATCTACAGATTATTCTCTGACTATTATACAGATTCATCTCACATCTTTTATATAGAAGAGTTTCAGTTAACTCTCAATTATTTTCATGAGATTCTTATGTGATTATCACACAGATTCTGTTGAGAGTCCCGTGATTGATCGGCTCTTCTATCAGCAGTGCGCTGGTGATGATTGAGCTCTTTTGCCTCAGTAGCCTATAGATTCATCTCACAGATGAATCACTCTCTGTGAGATTATTCTTATCAAAGAGAAATATTCATAAGTTGATCTTTTACTCATTCTTATAAATCATTGTTCTTTAACACTGTAGAATTGTGAGGAATTTTCCATTCTTTCATCAACTCTGTAGAATTATAGAATTAAGATATTCACAGTCTGTAATCACTCTTATAGTTACATAGAAAGATTCAGATCTGTGATTCATAATTACTCTTATTTACTAGAGTAATCTGACTATTTTATAAAATCACTCACAGTGTAAGCAAACCTCTCTAGAGTAGTATAAATATCTCAGATCTGTCTGTGAAATCTCATCTTCTTTTCTCTTTTTCTGTAACAGCTTTCATTCTCATAAACTGTGAGTATTCTCATTCATTCATGAAGTATTTTCACTCAGATGATAGAGAGAGAGTGTTTCTGACAATGTCTGTATATTGATTTAAGAACTTCTCAAGAATAAAAATTTCTTTTTTAAATTTCAATATCTTTACAAATAATGTCTGACTGTTACTGAGCTTCTTGTGAGTGTCTCTGTAACTTCTCTGATCACTTTTTATCAGCTGATGAAGCAGAGATGCTGCTGCTCATAACTGTGTCTTCATTTCTCTCAGTCTCATCACTGCATTCAATCTTCAGGTCAGCAGCTCATCTCATCTCTTTTTCAGACCAGTCTCTGACTTCAA